GTGTTGAGAAGTGGATGTGGTGAATGGGGGAATCGAACAGTGGAGTGTGATTCGGTGTAAAGAATCCGGTGTAAAATTACCCGTTTGCCCCGCTTCGGTGTAAGAAATCCGGTGTAAATTTCAACTTTGGCCTGGGCACAAGACTTTTACACTGTTTTTTTTTGCACAGCATTTTCCGGTGTAAATTTTCCAGTGTAAAATTAAAAATCACGGCCGGGCAGAAGAGTTTTACACTGTTTTTTTTACACTGCTTTTTTTTACACAGTCGAAAAAAAAATTGAAACACGTGTAAAATTCGAAAATACCCCCCCTTTTCTCGAATTTTACACCGGATTGTTTTTACACCGAAAGAGTCGGTGTAAATGACTCGGTGTAAAATTCTCCTACCCCCTAAATTATACTTGTTTTTTCGGGGGTGTTGATCATCTTTTTTTTATAATCTCTTTCGGTTTGGGCTTGGTTTACATAGTTGTACAATGATGGGATTTGAAGTTTTTCAATTGATTGATAAACAGAATGTTCATTTTCTTTACCTCCCAGACGGCTGATGAGAAGCCTTTGCTCCCCCTTCCCGACTACATCCTATGGAAGCTTGCATACGGCTCCCTTTTGGATTCAATCATTCAGCCTGCTCCAGGCCCTGTGTCATCCCGTTGATAATGATTGCGGTCCTCGAGTCTCGTCAAAATGGATCGTTTATGTTGATAAAATTGACCATCGCACCACAGCCTCTGCGTCCTCGAACAAAAGTTTAAGTTTATGTTTTGATTTTGATTTCTTTAAACCCAAACCCAATTCTATCCATCAATCTTCTCTAAGTATTCTTTTTTTCAAATACATAATATCAAGTTGATTAAATATATCTCATCCACTGTGTTTTCTACAGATCAAAAAAGCCAAATGGATAGTATTACAAAAACTAGCAATAAATTGAAATATGAAAAGATCTTCAAGTTGGATATGAAAGAACTCATAGAGCTTTGTAAGAAAATGAAATGTTGGAGTCACCTGAGTGATTGTTGGTTTTGAAGTATTGAACTTGTTTTAACCCATAATCCTTTGTTGTTCGATTCCCATACTTTGGTCAATCTAATTCACGACTTTATATTCAAAGTTCATAAAAGGGTCAAACCATTAAAACCCCAACTGATTTTCTTGAGTTCCTTTTTGTACACATATACATACCCAATTGAAGCTTAAACTAAAACTTCAAATTTGATTTTTTTTACAAAAAAGTGTGAGGTTGGAAGTTTGGATTTCTTGAAGTTGAACTGAGGATCTTTTTGATATAGGACAAATTGATTTGTAGGTATATTGTGAAAACAATTTCATCGACAAATCATTTCAAGTGTAAAGTCCAAAAAAGAAAAAAAAACAATCCAAATGATTCCTTTTAATAAAAAAATCTTGAAACTGACATCCATAATATATCTATTTATTTTTGTAGAAATCCTTTTAGATCAGAAAAAAATCCATCAACTTTTATGTACAATATATATTTAGGAAAGTAGGATAAAATGAATGTAATAAACGGCGACGAAACCGAAACGAAACCCAATCCGAACCTATACTCATGGACAAACCTACCAGGCTACCTAATCAAATACTTACACAACCCATTCCTACCAAAGATCAGCTCAAATCCCCAAGCCTTTGATCGATTACAAAGTTTACTAAAAGTACCACTAGGATTTTACGAAGCTTATGATGAAGAAGTTGAAAAGACGTTATGGTATGTTAAGTTAGATAGTAGATTGAATGAACAGCTTTCTATTGAATTTGTTAAACTTGAAAAAGAGTTTAAAGAGATTGGATATTTTTTGGGATTGAACTCGGGGTATCTTATCAAAGAGATTTCTCCGTTTGATGGTGATTCGATAAGTCAGATTAGGTCATCAAATGATTGGATTCTGTTTAGTTCTATTAACTTGAATTTGTTATTTCAACTTGGGTATAAAGATGATGAAGAAGGAAATCATGAAATTCAAGAGTTTTTATATCAATTGAAGTTGAAGAAATTGCAAGTGAAGTTTAAGGTGGCTGTACTAGGGGTTTGGGAAGACGAATTGAACCAAGCTGAAAAGATTAAAACTATCAGAGCAGAGAATCTTAGGTTTCTTGAAGTTTGGAAAAAAGGTAAGTTTCTGCAAACCTAATTCTCTACGGGAAAAATTCCTCAAAGATATTAATTTTTTTCTCTCTAATAGATTATTTGATTACATTTACAAGTAAAGCAGCAAGTTCACATCCTCAAAACCTACAACGTTTTTTCCAAAAACTTCAATACTTGTCATTCAATCCAGAAGCTAGTCCAAGGTTCATAAGTTGGTTACACATCATAACTTTCCATCAACTAAACCCGACCAAGAAACCAAACCAATCAATCCAAAACCCATCACCTCATTCTCCAAACACGATGCGCACCAATTTCTCAAACCTCAACGCCATCCATACGATTTACAAAACAAATTCATGGCCATGCATCATGATCCAAGAAATGTTTTGTATAAAAAAAGATAAAGTTTATTTATCTGATCATTTTACCGAAGAAGAAGAAGAAGAAGGAAAAGGTTATTTTCATGAAGTTTTGTCGTTTGAAAAGATGCGAGAAATTAGTGATTCGATGGATCAAAGGTTAAGAGATTTATCAAAGAATGAAGTCAAGGTTTTGATCAGTGTTTCTACTGCTATTGGGATTAGGTTTTGGGATTTGATAGCTTTGGTGGTCGTGGTTTCTGATCTTGAGAAATTTGAATTTCAGAGGCTTGGAAACTTTTCGGTATGTCTTTTGCTTTTCTATGAAGCTTTCATCATATATGATTTTGCTTTTTTTTGGGGGTTGGAAATTTGAACTGATGTTGGTGTGCTTGGGTTTGATATAGTGTCAAATGATGACGTTTGATGAAGTTTTGGAGTTGATGGATAAAGAAACTGTTGAGATTTGAAACTTCTGTAGCTTTGTAGTTTGTCTGTTTTAATATATTTTCAGAAAATTAAATCTGTCTCTTTGGATTATTTTGTTATAAAAATATCAAGAATTGTATCTCAGAAGAAATAAAGGATTGGATTGAAAAAAAAAGAGTTTTGTAATGTAAAATAAACACAGTGGTCATTCTTTCAAAAATAAACAATTTCAAAGTAAAAAAACATTTTAAAGCGATTCTTTCTTTTCCGATAAGATTCATTAGATTTGGATTTTTTGTTTTTTTCGTGGTTTGAATAATTCTAATCAATAAGAAAAAGTTTAGGATTACAAAATAAAACACGTGTAAAGATTATCAAATGATTTTTTTAATTATTTTTAGTAGGTGTTAATCCAGTGACTAATTCAATCCTACGACATTCTATCCACAAGAAAAAAACCCGGTTTCCAAAAAAAAGAATCAGTCAAGTTTACAAGTTTAGAAAAAAAAGAACAAGATTTACCGATTTCTGTACGTGAAGGATCAAAAGGAAGTTGACAAAAAAACCTAAACCGCAAAGACAAAAGAAAAACCAAAAAACCATGAGTTTTGTTTTGGTTTTTTTTAGTGAAGGAAGAAGAACATGAAGATACCCTAATTTTTGCATGTATTCAAAAAGATGACGACTTTCGATTTGAAGTTTTATACAATCGTTTTTGTGTGAAGAAGTTGAAGTACTAGATAGATTAGTAGGATCTAGTGATGGGTTTCTACATAGTTCTGATAGAATCAAACCTCGACGTGGTGTATCGAATGAATAAACTGTTAGAATGAAAGATATATCCAAGTTAAGATTAGTGTGATTGGTTTTTGGATTGAGAATGAAAGAAGACTTACCTGAGTTTGGTGATTGGTTTATGAACTATGATAGAGAAATGAAAGATGGATTAGTTTTTTGGTTTAGTGAATGAAATGTATTGAGAGAATGGAAACTTAACTGAGTCAACTTTTTGTTTTTCTTCGATTGGAAACTTTGAGCTTGACATCTTGAGTTGAGTTGAGAGTGGTCATCAATCGATTGCAATGAAAGTTAAAGAACAGGACTGATTGGTTATAAGGATAAAGTCTAATAGTCAGATTGCCATGATTTATGATATTTGACTTTTTTTTTGGAAATCCAATCCAAACCAACCAACTTATAACAAAATGAAACCCACATCCAAGTTCATCAACTCAACACTTCTTCAATCAACCTCACTCAAACCAACCTATCTATCCAAAAGACTTTCAACCGAATCAAGTATAGCAATCAGACCCAGAAGTTCAAGTATCCCACCACCTATTCCATTACACCAACAATCAAGACCGAGTCATAGATTAGTAGTAGCTTCATTAGTTTCAAGATTACCGATCACCTTGAAAAAATTGACAAGATTCGAATCGGCTTATTATCATTATCAATCACAACTTTCGAAAACTTTGGAAACTAAATTTAATACTTCTTTCTTCTTTAGATCTGGATCTCAAGCTGAAAAAGAATTCTTGGAAGAAAGTACAGGGAAATCCAATCAAGTTGATGCAAGTGTTGATCAACACGATCATCAGACGGTCGATCAGCTCGATTTGGATGAATCTAGTTTAGAAAGAAAAAAAGATCAAACTTTGTATTTGTTAGTGAAAAAGAACAGAAGTGAACATCAATGGCAATTACGTACGTACACAACAAAAAGCTCATCCAGAAACCCCAATGCTAAAAAACCAACTAATTAATTCATGAAACTTTTTTTTGGATTCTTATAATATATTATGTATTTTTGGGTTGAAAAATAGCACAAGGAGGTATTAAACCAAAAGAAGATTTAGTGAAGGCAGGATTAAGAGAATTGTATGAAGAATTAGGAATCGATATGGATATCTTTTCGATTGGTCATGTGCCTGCTAGTTATTATTCTTATGAATCGATACCTAGTTCATTAACTTCTACTACTTTGAAAGGTACAAAGGTATGTTGAATAAATCTTTTTAGAACTCCCTTTTTTCAATCGTCTTTTTTTTCAATCATCTTTTTTGTTCATATCCTCTTTTTTCGTATCCTCTTGCTTCATATCCTATCTTTTTCATATCCTCTTTTTTCGTATCCTCTTCTCTGAGTTTTGATTTTTCTGAGTTTTGATTTTTGATTTTTGATTTTTTGATTTTTGATTTTTTGATTTTGGGTTTTTTGGCGAACAGGTTTGGATTATGCCAAAAAGGATTTTAAGAGGTCAACCTAAGATTACAGAAGTAGGTAAATCTGAAGGGATCATTCAGTTTGCTTGGTTAACAAAAGATGAAATTCAAAATAGAGTTAGTCAAGAATTATGGTCAGGTTTAAATCCAATTCTTTCTGAAATTTAATTAAATTATGAAAAATAATGAAAAAAATCAAGATTGAAAGATTGAAAAAAATTGAAGTTTGGATGGTTTACCTTTTTTTTTGAAAGAATGTTGATTTATGTGTTGGTTTTTTGATTGTTTTTTGAGATGAAATAAAAAGGAATATGAAAAAAATCAAAAAATCAATAATCTTATAAATCTCTTGAGTATACAAACATGTGTTCAAAAACTTGAAGCACATGATATCTTCTGGGTGCAAGGATGTATACAGTTGTCTCTGACATAACCCATACCCAAAAAATGTGGCCCAAAAGTATGGGTTTTGCTAGAGTATAGGTTACCTCAATCTCTTTCAAAAGCCATAATTATATATTTGCAGACAAAATATGGGTTATGACAAAGATTGTACAAAACAAAAAAATAAACTTCTTAGGAAACCTTAAAAAACATATCAGAAATAGTCTGCTGCTTTGCAGCTTTAACACGTAGCAATTGGCAGTGTCTAACAGAGGCTTGATGGCCCTTTCATACCCCTGCACTTCTTGTGCATTGTCCCTTTCCAAGTAAGATAGCATGATATCCGAGGCTTTGCCGTGGTGGTGGTGGTATATTTCCTACTATAGATTCTTTTTCATTTGCTTCTTGTTGCATGTTTTCAAATTTCTTGAAACCTTCCTCAATATTGGCCACAATGTATTTGGACAAGTTTGCAGGAAGTGTAATGTGATTGAGTTTGTGATGTGCAGGGTGTGAAAGTTAAATGAGGTTGAATAGTGTTAGTATCAATAGGGTTTGTCTGTCAATCTTTATGTTTAGAGTTTTTCAAGCCTCCCTTCAGTCATTTTTTTTTCAAATGACCCCTGATTTTTATGGGTTATGAACTCTGGTTTCCCTCAAAAAGCTTATGGGTTATGGGGTACTACAAAGTTATGGGTTATGTACCCACTTTCCCTGCAATTTTTCTGCAGATGGCCAAATTTGTATGGGTTTTGATGAGTATGGCTTACAGCACAGATGGGTTATGTCAGAGACGACTGTATGTCCTCTCTCTTTTAAATTGCTCCAAAGTTCATTGCATACTGATTTTATCTTCTCTGTCCTGGAGGAATGATTGACTTTTGCATTACAAAAGCTGGCTTACAGGATTTCAGCAAATATAATTGATGAATATGTGAAGATTGGTGAATGAACAGTAATCTTATGTTTGCAAAAGTTTGTCCATGGGATTGTTGAAATTTATGGCCCTGAGTATATCAGCCCACCAAGAGAAGATGAGCCAAAAGAATGTGAATTATGTGGTTTTCCAGGTTGCAAAGGCTCCAATGGTGATATGCAACAGGTTTGAAAAAATTGTCCTACTGGCTGGGGACAGTTTCAAGGCAAGGTGAAAATGGCCACCTTGGTTCTTGAAGTGGTAGCATCAAAGAGTACATACATCTGACACACATTATTTTAGGTTCTGGACTCTCTGAACAATATCAATGTTCTCAATTGGGACCCCCTGTTTGAATGATTTTCCAATGGTAGGTTTTTTATCTGATTCTTTTTCACTTTCAAACTTCTGATTTTGGGCTCAACTAGGCACTGAAGATTTGTTGAAGTTTGAGGTCAAGAATAATGAGTATACACATAGGTATGACCTCACAGACAGCATTTACTCAATGTGGCCTGTCTTGATCAATACCATAAACTTTCCATAAGACAATGCTTCAGATTCTTATTCAGAGCAACAAGAATCAGCTTAAAATGGCATCAAATGTGCATTTGGTGACATCCAAGACTGTTGGCATATCCTTGCTTGCCCATGCAGGATTTGGGAATTTCACAATATATGTAAGATTATGTATTGTTGCATATTTCTTCACAAAATGATTGTTGAAAAATAGGAGTCTCCTGATCCCAATGTTGAGTATTATGCTAAGAACACTGAGATAATTTCAAATCACAGTGGTCTACAAATCCAACAATCTCCTACCACTTTGATCTCAAAGCATATTGATTCAAGAAACTCAGATTGATTTTGGTCTTATTCAAGGGGCACAAAATGGTTAGTCCAAAATTGTAGATTTTTCATTGTGTCAAAGACTCCTGCAACATAATGGTATCATTGAGATCAACAAATTGGGACTTAGCAACTAACTTGTGATTAACAAATAAGTTGTGTTTACAAAAAGAGTTATAAGAGCACCCACTACCATGAGGGTGATTTATTGTAAATTTTGCATTCCTGAGTGCGAAATTCAATCATGTGTGTTTTCACCTAAGTTGTTAACTGCATGAAATCCACTATGGGATGATGTAACATATGATTTAACTACAATAAATCACTGTGAATCAACCAGGTTCACAGTGGTATGATTTTGAAATGAAATTCCTTATTTCTCATAACTTTCATCCAAAAAAATCAATCAAAACCCTGCCACAAGTTCCTTGAAAAGACAACTCAATGTCCTTTTGAAGTCTTCATATAACAATGATGAGCAGCAGTATTATGACCAACTGGTCATTGACTGTCTCTTCAGCAAGCTCCCTCCACCTCCTTAACACCCTCATAGTCTTTTACAGATAGAGCGAGGCTGTGTTGCTTGTGGTCAACAACTCTTTTGATTTGGAGTGTGATGTTTTGGAGTGTGATGTCTTGATGTTGACTTTTGAGGATGAATTTTGAAGTTCAAACTTTGAAGTTGAGGTTTTGAGGGTTGAGCTTTGAGATTTAAAGTCTTGAAGTGTGAAGCTGTGAAGTTTGAAGTCTTGAAAGATGCAGTTTTGACAGATTGGATGCATCAAGTCCTACAATAAATCAAGTTTTAAGCTTTCGTATATTTGAACAAGCGCATTGCAAAATGTGATGCAGATGTAGGGACTGCAAGTGTAAAACAGGCCCATAGTGGACCTGTGTGCAATTTAGCGGTAAAGTTATGATAAATCACCTAGTTACCGCAACCATAGTGGGTGCTCTAACTTGTCTTGAACAAAGAAAGTGATAAATGAACCGATGGAAACAAAAATACTGTGACAATAGCCAGTGTCTAACAAATAAATCATGTTTGAAAAGAAAATAACTTATGTTTAACAAGAAAGTGATAGCTTGACATTAAACAAAAAATACTGGGTACAATAAACAAACTTGTTGAATTACTTCAATACGTGATTTAAAACTTGAGTTGTTTTGATATGTGATATAAAAACTGGTTGAGTTATTTAGACTCAAGCCTAGGGGCCTTTAGTCATTTGAAATTGATGTTTCAACTTTGATTCATATCTGGCATCAGGTGCAAATTAGTAGCTGTAAAGTTGGTGACTGTGAGCATTGATCTATGCGGATACAAGTATGAGGACATGAAGGAGGTGGAGAAAGCCTGTTGAAGAGCCAGTCAAATACCAATTGGTTGTAATCCTGCTGTTCCTCATTGTTGTTTGATGACTCCAAAAGGGTGTTGATTTGTATTGTCAAGGAACTTGGAGTAAGTAGGCATTGAGACATGATGGATGGTTTTTTGGGTGAATTTTATGAGGAAAATATGATCTTTCATTCCAAAATCAAACCACTGTAGATCTGGTTGAACACAGTGATCTAATTGTTGGTAAAGCAGATGGTAAATCACCCCAAAGTGGATTCTGTGCAGTTACCAACTTAGCCACAACACACATGATTAAATTTTGCAATCAGGACTGCAAGACCTATGATAAAACACCCTCAACATAGCAGGTGCTCTAAACTTAAGATCATATCTACATGTACTGCCATCAAGTGTAAACACCTTTGGGTAAGGGCATAAATCAATTGTTAAATAGACTACAATGTTCAATCTATGTATGGGGATGATCTTATGGATTTTGATGAGATTACTTATTAAGAATCATGTCTTGTCTAAATATCAAAACCAAGATCCACCTTTTCAAAGGTAAAAAACCCCTTTTTTGTCAGGTCTTGAATACCTTTGTTTTCTGTACTCACAACAATAGATTTGTTTGTAGACCCAAACAAAAACAAATCTGAAAATTTGTTTTGTCTTCACAACTTACAAGTCATCATATCTGTGGTTTGTCAAATACCATTTACTTGTTAGACTTTCTCCAAAACAAAAAATCAGTTTCCTTCCCTCATAATTCTGTGGCCTTCAAAGGGGTTTATAACCTAATATAAATAGTTTATCCTTTTATCAAATCTCAGCTGTTGGCATCAATCCTGCAAAACTCTAATCTTGTACTTTGCATAACTTCACATACTTCAATCTCAATTATAATACTAGATGAATTGCTCTGATCTATGATAGATTATAGCTCATAATAGAGATGTGTTGAAGGTATCAACACTGGAATATCAGGGGGTTTCTTTCTAATAACATTTGTGACCAATTGAATGTGTGATCCCATCTTGATGGTCAATTGAAACTTCAGAAGGCCTGGTAATCATATGACCAAAGCTACAGCACCCCATCTGGTGGGGCCGTGGCTGGTCCCGGGGCCACTTTTCCAATCACAGGCAAATGCATTTTTAAGGGACACTGGGTTTTTGGGAGTCAAGGTGCAGGGTGGGCCAGGGCATATACAACGGGTGGCGCGCCGACAACCTGATGTATAATACCCTATCTTGGCTGCGTACATTGCTGGTGTTCATGATGTCTTGGGTCTCCCATACTGCTTGAGACTGACCAAGTAGCATACAAAGATATGGATACTGTGACTTGAGTGCAGAGACCAAGTGGACGAGTCCAAAAGTTACCAAGGAAAAATGGCCTCAATTACCGTCAAAAAGTTTCCCCATTCAAAATGCTCAACAACGTTTCATTAATTTATGTGTAGCTGCTTCTCAAAATACAATCAAGAGATAATTTTCAGGAGTACAATGTAAATAGTGCTGTTTCGTGATTTTGGGAAAAGATATTTGACTTGCCACCCAATTTGATTATGGGGTCCTTTTCTCGAAAGACCCTCGTAGACGGGGAAAAAATCACGACTTGCGACAAGTATGTCAGACGAGACGCTCAAGTTGAAGTTGAAGTCTTGGATGTAGAATTTCACGATGCTATTTACATTTTACCCAGCAGAAGAGTTTGAAACAAATCAGATTCTTATTGATATGAATCATGATGACTTTGATTATGCTGTGGCTCGTAATAAGGTATGAGTTTTCAAAACTGATTTCTCACTCACTCTGCAAAGTAAATCTTACATACAGAAGTTTGAACTTCAAGTTCAGTAGGCAGTGCAAGTTGTCCATTTTATGTCGTATCAATTCATCTCCTCCAACTTTTGAGAATGAAGATGAATGAAGGAACTGGATATGAAGGCTTGAGTGGCACCTTCAAAATTGAAATTAGATTTGTATGCAAGCCTTTTGGCTCCACTCCATCGACTTCCCTCTCCTTCTGCCACCAGCGTACAGCTTGAGTCTCCTTGCAAAACTCGATATTTAATCCAGCTCCTTCCCATCTGTCACAACTCTCTCCCGCTCCCCCTGCTCTTCATAATCATCAAACGTGTCTCATCTCCACTAAGCAAACCTTCTGTTTCTTCATCATTACCAGAAAAAAACTAGTGATTGAACCCTCATAGTTCAACTGTCAAGCGTCGGTCTTCCCTCCAAGTCTCTTCCAGGACCTCATTGATTTCCAAGCGTCAACCGTCCTTGGAGCAATTCACGCCAACTACCCCATCAAAAATTGAGGAGTCTCTACAATCTAAGGTGGCCTGATTTGAATTCGATTTTGCTGGTTGATTGCCTTCGACCGTCTCGTATCGGGCTACACTGACGCGATTTGCTTCTACGGGTTTTCTTAGAATCATCTTTCCGCTACTCGTTATCAAAGTATAGGACAACGACCTCCGGAAGGTATCTTAAGGTCAAGCTAGCTAGTTCACCATCAAGCTCACCTTGACAACACATCTGAGCTCAACAACACTTGTATGTATAGGATTTCTTCTTTTCTGACTCCTTTGTCTATCGCTTGACTACCAAACAATACCTCATCCGGTAGTCAAAATTATTTTCTTCTCATTCGGTACCACGTTAATAAGTATTGAATCTTTTTTGGACGGTTCCATCATATCTTCCTTCTTAGCATAGGGTCTGTTCTTCGAAGACCAATCAATCTACTTCAAAATGAACTTCAAGACTACTCTCTTCCTTCAACTCGCCTTGGGCTTGTACGTTGTTGTGATGTCATGTTCTGGCGCCCCAATTGAACAGGGCAGATCGGGCCTCGAATTAATCAAGCGAACGCTACACGAGGATACGAAAAAGGAGGTCAGACCTCAGGGTTATCATGCCTTCCCAATCTGAGATACACATCTAAGATTTAGTTGAGCTTATACTGCGAACTGCAAGTGAGTCATATCAAACCCTTTGTCTTCAAAAAAATGTATCATTGACAGAACCTGCACTTACCAATTGACTCTTGACCATACTTTTATAGGATAATCTTTTTGTGTTATTCTACCTCCCCATCACTCATGTCTTCCTTCTCGTATTGGAATTCTCGACCTCAGGCTGATTGTAGCTTTCAGAAGATAAAATTATTAAAAAAGTGCAAACGATCTGATAATATATTCATTCGCCCACAAAAGTTGTATAATCCAAAGAGAAAATGGTTGTGTGTGTGCGTTTTTTCGTCTTGAAGCTTAATCTTATATTTTTCTCCTCCTTTCAATTTGGTGTGCCGAAGTTTTTTTTATAAACGGTAACAAATACATTGGATCCTCTTCAAATTCTCGTGCCTTGCCAGACTCCATGCCTCCATGCACTGTGTTACTGCCCACTTCCACTCAAGATTGTCTTGTTGAATTTCAACACTCAGATTGATATCTCCCTTGTGGCACCCTTGTTGTCCGAGGGTTCTTATCTTGCTTCTGAACTTTTTATGATACTGACATACATAATTATAGCCATGCCACACAACAAGCACCATGCGGTGGTGACACTGGATCTATATAACCTTGAAGTTGTACATGCTGGAGAGAACCGATTTCTCTGTGGCGAGCTAAATTTTGTAAAAAGTATTTACACTTTACTGCATTTGTCGAGCCTACAATAGCGGCTCTCCTGCTCTCGCACATCCGATGGCATGAGATATGTCGAAGTAGACATCAAACTGGAGATCGCAAACTGTGCCACGAAATGTAAATCTTTTCACCAACCCTTGACTTAAGTACTGGCGCAGTGGCGATCAAAGATACATCTTGATTTGAGTTTTCAACATATATATATGTACAACAAATTCAAATCTCAGCCCGTGCCACCATCAGCATGCACTTGATTCGGAGATCAACAGTAGGAAAATTCTGGAAGACTACATACTATTACGCGCAAATCTCAATCTCTGATACCAGGGCCTGCCAGAATCAGATTTAAAGCCTATACCCCTATGACTGATCATGAGACTAGAAACTGGGCTTGTCAGATGGGGAGGTCAATTCGCTCATGATTCTCAAGACTTCACACATGACTCTAATAGACGTAGCTGGGGTGTGTTGTAATACAAGGGCAGGTCAACGAGTTTTTCTGCATGATCAGGTGGAGCACTTGCCGTAGATACTAGAGGCTGGGACCTTCTATGATTGCAGGACGGCCTCCACCCTTCACCGCCACCGTTGTATATGTTTGACAGGCCAGGGATTGATGAGTGTGAGTTCTGGTGAGCGACATGGGAGCGTAACCGTATCGGTCTTCCTCTGAGTAAGCTTAACATAAGCCCCTCTTCCGACGCGTCCAGAATTTGGAAAAATAATGTGGCTTGTTGTACACTTAACGCACAGGTCGGTGGCGGCTCGTAGGACTGTATGGTTCATATCCCTTTGTGAGGGCTTTAAACATCGTAAAAGGTTGCATGAAATTCAGGAGTGCCTCTGCTGAGCCTTCTACACAAGCACGTGTCACTTCCAGCACCACTTCCCTTGAGTGAAGTCGCTCCAAGGAGCTCTTGTAAATGTGGGCCTCACTACGACTTAATATGTCAGACCCGCGTTGCAAGAAAATTTCATCTAATTCGAGTTTCAAAACTTTTGAGCATCCTAACATAAAATTAAGTACCCACAAATGCGCGCCTAATTGCGCATGGTGCGTGGCCGCCGCTCGGTCGCCCATCCCACGCAAAGCTGAGCTAGAAATGGTCTGCATGAAAATTTTTGATCATTAGGTTTCCAGTGAGAATCCGAAGAAATGCCTGAACAGGTGTGATCAATGAGTGTGCAAGCAATTTTTTAAAGTTGCAGTCATTTAACTTTATTTAGCCATTTCCCAACCTTTGATCATCCCCACACAAACTTTGATCATCTCAACACCAAAGCCTGGATAAACATGAAGCAAAGAGAGTGCAGTATTCAGTCTCGGCCTTACATAACCCGCATGACAGTCTCAATATGTCAAACTCTAGAGGACCACAAACCACGAATATATCCAAAGGAGTTTGTGCATGCTTTTTTGTCCGCAAACGACCCTGTGCTAAATGTGAAGCGTCGTCTTTGGGCAAACAAAGGATCAAAGTCAACATTGGACATTGTCCGCGATATCAAGGACCTACTCAATTCCTCGGGTGCCAATGGCAGAATGATTTGGAGGCAATTCATCCTGGACGAGGTAACTACAGTTTGGGTTAATAAACACTGCATTTATATGCTGACAAATTGGAACACACGTACGGAAGGCTCAATTCTATGTGGATTCCGAGAACCTACCTGTGGGTGAATATCCTGGTGGTTCGTTCTACAAGGCAGATGCCATTTCCCTAAATTTTTTTGAGGAAGATCAGATGGTGAAACGTGCAACACAGGTGAAGGAAAGCATGGATTTCTTACATACCTTAATCGAATCAAAGCTATTGGGCTCGGCGACTAACACTGACAGAGGATTGATTTTGAGAGCTGGAGAGAATACTGGGAACGATGACTCTGACGACGAAACCAAAGGACCTCAAGCTGAAGAAGGCGCCGAGGATGATCTTGATATTATCAATCATCGAGAGGGCGTTTTGTATGCAAAAAAGCATAATCATCAAGATAAACTAAAAACTCGTGCTCGCCTAGTGAGTACTGAGTGATTTTGTTTGATAATATGGTCCAGATGATTGACTAAATCTCCCAGATTGCCGGTACCACTTGTGCTATGGTTGCTTTTGCAAAAAATCGGCGACAAAACGGGCTTCAACTGCATAACGCATTGACTTTCTTAGCGGTGGGGGTATCCGAACGTATGAACTCTTATTTGCACACAATTGGCCTATGTAGCTCACGAGATACAGCAACAAAAGCATTGAGGAGATTACGAGACATTAATGAGGCCAAACTGAAGCGTGTAATGAGGAAAAATCATACCTTTCCTCCGATGATCTGTTTCGACAATATTGACCTACTGAGACGTTTGTCAAAGGCACGGGTGGATGGAAACCAATGGATTTTTCGAGGGACATATGGCTATGTCCATGTGATCCCACCTCACTTAGCCCAAACGATGGATCCATTGTCTGAAAGCTGTAACTTGAAGAAATTCCTTGCTTACCACGACACAGCACAAGAAAAACCTGTTCGGTTATGGACATTCTTGCCAACCGTTCAAGAACAGCTCACTTGGAAAGCTTCACTTAAATCACAGCTGACAAAGTGTTTATATAAATACATCATTGGCGACGGTCCACGCCCTTCAACCAAACTCCCTTCAAAGCCACCACCGATCGAAGAAATCCCTCGATACAATCCGGAGATTTATATGCTAAAGATGCTTGATTGTTCAGAAAACTCGGCCGAAGGAATTAGTCATGTTTTTGACGGTATTTTGCAACAGACCGGTGTAGCACGTGAATTAAGTGCTAGTCGTATTCAGGTGGTTAATGGTGATGTGGCCACTTGTCAAGCGATTGAAAGTTTGAGAAAGAAGCTCTTCCCAGCGGGTTCCGATGTCGATACCGGTCAAAATCTGATTACAATCTTTGGCGCTTCTCATACTCTGTGGAATGTTGCACAAGCAATCCTTTGCGAGCACTGGGGTACTCCTGGTGTGAAGAATGATACTGGGGCCTGGCGATGGTGGCAGTCATTAGGAGGCTCAATACGTAAACCACCTGCGAAAATGGATTTTAACCAGGTCCTACAAGCGATTCATCAGATACACATGGCTACCCTCACTTTCTGTTTGAGGTAAGTTTATTTCTTATTTCTATACTGATAATTGGGATACAGTTTAAGCTAGCGTGGTACATAATTTACAGGCAAATCATAACCGAAGAATCCAAAGAAGGGCCACCAGACTTTTCAAAAGAAGGGGTTGCGGAGAAGTTGATTGAAAAATGCTATAATGAATTCTGCTCGCCACGTGCTTTAAAAAAAGCACGTGTGTCTGGTAATAAGAAAGGCTACAACCTAAGATTACGAATTCGAGATTTTGCAACTGTTGTTGAGACTGACGAAGCTATGCAATGTGGAGATATTGGACGATGTATTTCCATGTGGAAATTATGGTCTCTAATGGCTCATGGTGTGAAAGGCCTCCCTCGCTATGCTCGACATATCACTCGATTCATCAATTTAGTGGAGCATGATCTCCCAAAACCATTAGCCACTTTAATCAAACACTGCATGCTTATTCCGACCAGGGACGGCCAGGGTCATTTTGTAGCTACTGACTTCTTCTTAGAAACTATGAATTACTGGCTGAAGTTCTTTTACAATCGCGCGGTCAGTCTGTTTACACAAACTTATTGGATATCCCAAAATTGATTATAGTCATTATATTTTATTTCTTTCAATATTATTATAGGGTAATGGCACAGATATTGAAAAATTAATGAATGACATTTCAAATAATATTCCATTTGTACGTGTGTGAGACAACTGTTTCATTTCGAATAACTAATTCAGCCTAAAACCGGTCAGCTGCGCAAGCTAATTCAACAACTCAAGATCCGATCTGGACTACAACCGATATATCAGAAACACGATCACAAGATCAACGAGGCGACCATGGCTCAATTCCAGCGGGTAGCTCAAGACTACTTGGCGGAAATGGATTCCCAGCATATGCAGAGCCACGATATGCCGCTCGATGTGTTGGAAGTTGGAAGACGCAAGCTAGCACATAATCTTGAGGCTGATGTTCTTCAAAAAAGGCCCTCTCGATATCGCTGGGGACATAAAGCACATGAGAAAGCTGATGATACCATGCTGTCAGAATAGTTGTAATAAAAAACTAGGACGATGTTAATCGCTTGCGAGTATTGCCTTTTTGACTAGTAAATTGAAGATTATCTTGAGTTGCCTTTTTATGATAATTCAACTCTTCTTCAGTGGGATCTAAAACCGCCCAAATGTTTCTGCTATGTCGCCAGGTGTCCATTACTTCGGCGAGCCTGACATATGTGTTGGGAAGTGGTTCACCTCCATAGATCGCATCCAAAGGTAGGCCATTGGTCAGAGGCCCGAGATTCCCAATTATCTTCCAAGCGAGGTCACTTGAGAAAAGCACTTCTGCTGTGAAATAGGACAATTCAGGATCGGGATAATAAGATTCAAATATATTGTTGAAAGCCTTTATAAGCCAGAGATACAGCCTGATGTATCGGATGTCTCGACGAATGGGGTCTCCTTCAGAGACTTCCAGTGGCTTGAGAGGCTCATCAGATAGAGCCAAAACAGTTCGGTTAAATAGATTCGGGGTAGCGTTTGGCAGAGTATAATCTTTTTGAATCCAAGAATCAAACGTCGATGTTGTAATCTCAAGCTGGGCATGAGAAAAACCGAGGGCTGAACTCGAGTGACAATTTGAGCAACAGCATTTTGCCATTCCAGCAACTTGCTGTCGCAGTAGCTCATCAAGATAGACCTGGTCATCGGAAGAAATTGGGATGTATCCATGTCTAAACGATCCATGGTCAGCAAAAATGAATCAGGCAGTGAGGCGAAGTTCCACTTACTTCATATCGACGGCAAGCGCCACTCGCAAGCAGACTGGAGTTATAGCCAAAGCATCCATGCGATCGTCGTCAGGTTGATCCGTGGAATTGGTGAAATCTGCCACCGAGTTTTTACCGCCAGGTCGTTTAGCCTCTACTAATAAAAACCCAACGCCCATTCGGCCATCACGCCCAGCGCGGCCTACCATTTGAATAGTGTCGGAAGGGTTGGTGCGACCCAAAACAAAGACCCGTCGCACTTGTTTCCAGTTCTGACCCATTCCCAGGGCGGTGGTACAAGTCATGATAGGGAATTTTCCTTCGGAAAAATCTTTGACCCGCTGTAACTTATCGTTGGGTGCAGTGGTAGCGTGATATCTTCGCACGCAGGTACTAACTCCACAGCTCGAGTCTGTAGGATTTTCGCGGCCAAGGTTTATAGCTTGCATTGCGGCGAAAGTGTCATCCTGGGTGTGGCAGTAAACTAGAGTGGGCGGGATAGAGTTGTCGGGTACGTTCTCTTTCGGACCGAAAAAGTTGGAAAGATATCCAATGGCGGAGATGCCTGTTGGGACTCGGAGTCGAATCCAGCGAAGTTCCGGGCGCGTCAGCTCGGCTTTGTGAATGTCGACTTCACTCGGTCGTAATTGAAGATTTTCGAAAATTGCGTTCATCGCCTTGGGTGGGCAGGTAGCTGACATCAAGAGAATCGGTACCCGCTCGGTAGCCAAAAACCTTTCAATTAGATCTCCATACGAAGGCCGAAAAGACGATCTGTCTTGAGGGCCAGTTATAGAAATTCCAATCTTGTGTTTATCACTTTTCGCCAGACCCCAGTAGTAAATGAGATGGGCCTCGTCAACCACCTTGAGGACCAATTTCTCTTGGAAATTTTTCGAGAAAAAGATGCTTGTAAACCGAGGATTGTTTAAAAAGATTTCGGGTGACTAGAAATGTAGCAAATGATTAGCTACGAGAATTCAACGTACAGCGGCAGCCATAACTCACCACATACACAAAACGGTACACACCGCGCTCAAGGTTGCGTATTACCTCGTCCGTAAAATTATGACGGTTCAGATTCACGGCTGAAAAGCCCGCCTTCGTCTTTTCCTTCACCTAAGCAAACTCACCACATTTTGTCAGTGAAACCAACCGTGAGGACACTCAAACAAAAAACAAAACGTACCTGATCGTCACCCAACGCGTCTGTGGGATTCAAAACTAGGACAAAGGCTCCCGAGTCCTCAGGAAACAGCATCAGAAACAGCTCGGCTACGCAAGACTTCCCAAACCCGGTTCCGGCAAGAAGGAATGTGGTCTTGTTGTTCATCAGGCTATGGACAGATCGTATCTGTTTTTCTCGAGACTCGAAACCGTATTTGGTATGGAACATGGCCTGAAGAATCTCGATTTGGGCGTCAGGTGAGCTTTTTTTGTGTTTTTCTTCAATCAGAGGTCGACCTGGCTTGAATTGAATTGCTTTCGGAGAATGACTTGCTTGATTAGAATTGTCTTCCGGTGATTTCGTGGTCGCTGCTTCTCTTGCTGAACTTCGAAGATGCATGTCTAAAGGTAATTAGGTGGTGGTGTTCAACCGCGTTGTAACCGCGTCGTGCATGAGCGGGGGTGCAACAATTGAAAGCGCTTGGGGCAGATAGCCGCACGTAAGCTTGTTTTGGACTTCTGTCCAAAACAAAATAATGGGGGTCCGAAACAAAATATTTGGCCAATACTCCCAAATCAATTTCCGGGCCTGCACGCGCGCTGAACCCGTTGAAATCCATGGATATTGGAATCCAATTTTCCCACAATCTACAAGTGGTGACATGCTAAAAACAGTCCGAAGTGAAGGAGAAGGCTCAGCAGAGGCACTCCTGAATTTCTTGCAACCTTTTACGATGTTTAAAGCCCTCAAAAAGGGATTTCAAGCAAAAGTGCTCGAAATTCCTGCTGGTCTCAGGCCAAGCTCGGGGTGTATGCCCTAAGCCCCTCTTCGAGAGCGGACGTGGCCGCGTCGGAAGAGGGGCTTATGTTAAGCTTATCCTCTGAGACTATCTCGCTCTGAGACTATCTCTGAGACTATCCAGAATTTGGAAAAATAATGTGGCTTGTTGTACACTTAACGCACAGGTCGGTGGCGGCTCGTAGGACTGTATGGTTCATACCTACAGTGCATTAGAAAAGATTAGAAATCCATTCCAGGCTCGGTGTTGTCCAGGGACCAGCTCCTTGGAACGAAAAGAATTCCACTCTTCATAAAGGTTTTTTAAGCAAGCTAAGATAATGTAAAGAAAGTCCTTTGAAAAAGATTATTTCACGACGAGTTTGCTTTTTGATTACTGATTGCTTTTTGATTCGCAAACAATAGGCTTCCTCCTGGAAACCAACCAGAACAAAACACACTAATTACCTCTCTTTCATGTACTCGAGGAGACGAGTTCATATGACCTCTCGTCTCATTTTTGATTCAATTTAGCAACATATCAGTTATCGGTTGGTGCATCAAATTTGTTCTTCTCGCAAACCAAAACACGCATCAACTTATTTTCAATACTTCTCTCGCTGGAAACTTTGCAAATGACCTTTAAGTGACTTTCAACATCAACTTCAAAGCATTAGATCTGATCTGTTTAAAACTGATGAATTGACTGATTCATCATCTAGGATTAGTATTATCAAAAAAACAAGATCATCACGTTATTGTTTCTAGACGATTGATTAAAAATGGGTAGATTGCATAGAATACTCATCGTTCAATTCAACCAACAACAAATTGGTAGATTCAATCAAAAAAGTGTATTTCAAACTGACTGAGAGAGCGTTTGTGAACAAGAAAAGCTCCAGCCAGTTCGCTTGTTATGAAATAATATGACAATGAACTTGAAAGACATCGAGATTCCGTTGTTGTTGTTATGTGTAGGCTAGAAACTGAAACATCATGAATTTATGAATCGAGCTCAATAAATTTCTGTTCGAAGCAGAAGTGATGTGACTTCTTCTCAAAAGACCAATCTCTCACATTGGTCAACATCCAATCATTGGACCATAGTGATCTAACAAGTTGCTCGTACCTACATAGGCATGGATCCATTGCTTGTTTGAAGCAATCCAGAGCAGATCTTTTGGATCCATCAATTGCACAGAAGTCTGAAGAGCTTTGTACAGGCTTGAGTAGATCCGAGAAGGTCAGAGAATGAAAACACGCCCCTCCTCTTGGAAAACAGGTGCCACCCGAAAAATTTTTATACTATCCCTGTATGTCTCAGGGATCCTCTCAGGTAGTCTCAGAGGAAGACTGATACCGCATCTCTCCCAGCGACATACAGTTACGTAACGAGTGATATTCACTCTGAAGGTCTCCATAAGAAGCTGAACAGATTGGGGATGAGGACGGTGGGCGCCGCGGAGGGATGGTATGTACTGGTTGGTGATGGAAGGGGGCTGATTGCGCTGTCGACTGTCCACCGTCAGGAACACATCCAGATTCACCCCATCGATATGAGTCGGAAGTCTGGCGTTGGGCTGTAAGGATCTCTGTTAAACGGACCCCGCTGGGGGTGGGTTTTGATATCCAAATGAGTGATGCGATAAATGCAACCGCAAAGCAACCGATTACGGGTGGAGATGACTCAACTCTTCTCGAAACCACAAATGAGGAGGTGGATTTGAAGATGGATGAATGAGGAATGCAAGTTGAAGTCAAATCCCCAACCTCGAAAATCACAGAAGGTCCCTGGCGTACAGATTTCAAGTTGACCTGCAGAGATACACCTCCTTCACGGAGAAGTGTCTGGGAGTCACATCGAACCAGGTTGATATGTGTGGAAGAAAAAAAAACCTCCCCTTGCGCCTTTGACACGTGGTGAATATTTAAAGCGACTCTCAGTCTCTTCTCTTTCTCGTTCATCACCACTCCTACATTTTCCAACAATCTCTAGACTTTCTTAAACGATCACCATCATTGACCACTGACCTTCACAGCCTTTACTATTAATCACATCTCCATTGAGGTTTTTTGTTTTCCTCTACATTGTTGATCAAACCCAAGCCACACCTTCACAATCCGCTTTAAAACACATCAGCTATATACTTTCACTTCTCTGGGAGACAATCTACTAGCCCCTCCATTCCTGACACAACTTGAATTCCTTCGAGCTTCAAAAGCAGCCATACAAATCACTAGTTCGTAATCCAACCCTTCCAGAATCACGGTGAGCCATCACAATTCACACTGTTTGAACCTTCAAATCTAAGTAGTTTATATGTGGCGCAAAGTTTCCTGATCATTACTCCGTTATTAGAAAAGTCGCCTTAGTCAACAGTGATCCTTGATCGACCTCTAGATACCATTCCTTCCTGCCACACTAACTCCGTCTTATACTTACACTCCACATCAAGACACAGTGTATGCATCCATATTCTGATCAAATTCTTTGCTTTCATGAGTGATTAGGAAAATCAAGAATCCAAGCCTGACCGTCTCTTTCTGCCTCTTGATTCTATTCTTGACACCAGCTTTTCACTCTACAACCCAAGTCAACATAAATCAAGATGCAATTTACCAGCGGACCCCTTCTCCAATTCGCTCTTGCCCTATGTGTGCTTGTTGCGATTTGCTCGACTGCACCCACTACTACTATCTCGACGCAGGACAGCTCAAATCTACTTAAACGAAAGCTGGATACCAAATCGCCGAAGAAGAAAGTGGCATCCCAGTTCTTTCGAGCGGCCCCAATCTGAGACTTTCTTGAGCTGGTAGTGCAGTCCGGAAATACAGTGAGATACATTTCATACCAATACCATTCTAGCTTTCTCGTCACATAGCTCACCATTTATGACTTTTCTTTCCTGTGTGGCAGTGAGACTCGCGCAACCTTCTCCTCCCACATCTTTCCTCGTACCTTTGATCTCTTTGGCATGAAAGTAGTGAAGACCTATCACTAGATTTCAATCAAGCTTCTCAATAGTTGATTTCGAAAGCTTATCCGAATCTAACCATTATCCATAATCTCTATCCTCTAGTTTTCACAAACCAAACTTAATTTGATTTCTTCTTCTTCACTTACCTTCATCTGATCCTAGTTTTTTTTCTTAAAATCCTTTACAATCACTCTGACTCTTCGAACAACAAAAAACCCAAAAAACACTATCAAATACACTTTCTCTGATAAACAAGATAGCTAGGTGGATTGAAGACACTCTCTTTACCTGTCTGTACAATTATCCATCCTCTCAAACCCTTGTCTCATTCTCTTTTGTAGTACTCTCTGTTTGTCTAAATAAGTAGTGATCAACTTTTGAAATTCCTCCTCAGGGGGCCTTTCGTACTACTACTGTTGACCTCTTCAATTCTGCCTATACAGAATTCTCTGACAGCCAGAGTATCTTTAGATTCTTTAACCTATCAATTGTTTTCCATTTTACTCTAGTAAAGACACTGTTATCCAAGGACATGAAATCAGTTTGAAAGCCAGCAATAAGTTCCTATTGACACTTCCTAAATAGAACTCAGGTGTACGCGGCGCCCTTTCGTCTAAGCTTGAGAGATAACTTTGAGTAGCCCGCATGATTGGCAGGTATGAAGTACCTCTTGAATGATAAACATTGGACTTTTTCTTTTTGTAAATCAGCTGGTTTTCATTGACATTTTACCGTATACGACGGATGAGATGAGAAAAGACACAAAAACTAGTAATAGTATTCCATACATCACAATCATCAAATTTCTAGTTTTACCCAACAAATCTTCAACTAAATTAACTCACTTTGATCATAAACCAATCACACTTCATTGTCTGTTCTCAAACAAATCAGTCAAGATCTTTTAGAATGTATATCAAAGTACTTGATTCATGAAGACAAAGATTCTCATTTGCATTTTGAGACTTTTGCAGTATATATGACTTTTTTTGTGAGATGTGCATTCCAACTGAGCACAATTTTGGTGGTATAATCCCAAACTTACTGAAGGACATATTGAACCTTTGACAGGTGACCAGTTTTACTGATCACTTCTTCAAGAAACAAGAAAGGCATCTAGAGGACTTTTCACCTGCATGTTTAAGATAGGTAAGATCCCAAACAGGGTACATAGTCAATGGTGAATTATTCTCATCTGCCTGCTACACAATGCCTGTGTAATTCAAGCTTATGCATTCCACTGAGGAAATACGTGTGGTTGTCAGTGACCTGATTAATATTTTTTTTATCTTTGCTTGACTCTGACTTGAGCTTCAACTTCATTCAATTCTAAGGCTTATTCCATTATGTATCAAATATAAGGGAGGGCGAGCCCGCCTAAGGTCTAGTTTGCATAAATTGTGATCATTCAATCAATGCATTTCAGTTTACCCAAAAATTTCTTTTTCCTTACATATCATCCAAATCTCTTCCTATCTTTGACCAAACTAATTTCTTCCACCTCTACAAGCTTTTTATCCAACTAAAGAAACGAGTTTATCCATATAAATCCAATTCAACAAGCAAACCCCTTACTTTTCAAGTATTCTCTCTCTTTCTTTATCTTCAAGGGTCTTTTTCTTCTCTCATTCAAATGTTTTTTTTTTATTTGATTTTTCTTTCATTCATTCCTTCAACCTTCATCAACAAAAAGAAACCTCAATCAAAATCAATCAAACCTCAAACAAAACCAAAAAGCAAAAAGCAAAAACCTAAAGAGAAAAACCAGAAAGACAGAAAAAAAAAACAGAAAAATATAGATTCAAATCGATTTCTTTTCTTTTCTCAAAAAAAAAATCAAATCCAAACCCATTTTTTTCTTCACAGTAGTGCAAACTATATATTTATAAAAACCAAAAAAAAAAACCGCTACTACAAAAGGTTTCTTCCCCAAGTCTTCTTGTTTCATATTCATTCTTCTTTCATCTAAAATTCTCCACAAGATGCACACCCCCAAAGGAAAGAAAGAAACATGAAAAAAAAGTAATAGAAAAAGAAGTAATAGAAAAAAAAGATAGAGAGAGAGGAAAAAAAAACGATAAATCCAGCAAAGAAATAGAGGAGAAAAGACCAGGGATTGACATGAACCATCTCAAAAAGAGAAAAAAAAAAACCTCAAGCACAAAACAAGTAAACATGAACCAAAAAAAATGGCAGAAGAAGAAGAACTAAGAACAAATTTAAAAAAAAACAAAAAACAAAACACCATTAAATTTCAGGAAGGAGAAAGAGGCATAGAAGAAACTTGTAAATCAGGTTTAGGAGAAGTAGTCGAATGAATAGATTTCAACGATTTATTTTCATTTCCTTCTCCATTATTATTAGTGGTAGTAGTAGTAGTACTACTGGGTTGTTGTGATGCTAAAAGTTCTAAAAACCTTTCGGTTCTAACAAACTTTGGTACTTGATCTGTTGCCATTAATCTAAAGAAACAAAAAACCAAAATCAAAAACCAGATTAGAAAGAGATTTTTGAATCCTTGAGATCTCAAATAGAAATAAAGAGATACTTACCGATAGATATGATCAGCAATTCTCTCGTAATGTCGTAAGAGAGCTTGAACTTGAGTAGCTCGAAGTGCTGGCATAGCCACATCCGGATTAGGTGTCAAGTTTCCTTTCACTTCATCTACAGCTTTAGCCATATAACTAATCACATCTCCTCTTAAACCATGATCGATATTCAATTCAGATGGTGATCCAGGTGCAAGATAAGTATTAAAGATCAATAAGGCTGTTGAGACTAATTTCTCTTGATGTTGTTCCATGGCTGAGGTAGCCGACGATTTCTTCTTTGATTGTCCCACTCCTACCGCTGTAGAAGAGGTGGCAAACCTTCTTCTAAACTCTTGTACATCAATCCAGTAATGTAAATTCTCTTCACAGATATGCGATCGTAGAAAGTCTCGGAATAAAGATCTAAGAGCTGGTTCATCCAAGATAGCCTTGAGTCTTGCTGTGGAACTAGTCGCATCCTTGACCCAACTCGAACCTTCCGATGGGTCTGGATGTAAGATATCTCGCAAGACTTGTCTACCTCTTGCTTGACTCTCAGCTACGATAGCTAAACTGGTGGCTTGGACAGATGGTGAAGGTCTAGGAGGAGGATTGACAGGCTCGAGGGAATGAGTCGATGAAGTGTCTCCTGCTTCTTCTCGTTTCGATCCTTCGCTTTCCGAGCCACTCAACCTCCTTCCTTCATCAGTGATCCGATAAATCACCTTGGATCCATATCGGAAATCACCCTCTAGACTAGCCGAACCACGTGGTTCATTCATCGGAGCTCGTACAATCACTTGTGCTACCTTATCACCACCTTTGGATCGATCGATATGAAGAGTGATGAGACCATATCGAACAAAGTGAGCCAACAGCTCAGCAGCCTCTTCACGTCCACAACACGTTGAAAAATCGACGAGCCAATCGATCGCACCGGTAGAAGAAAAGACGTGTTTGATAAGCAAAGAGTTACCAGTCGCAGATCTTTCTCGGATATCTTGTAATTCGATTCCCGAACTTCGATCATAGTTATCAGGCAAACGAGCGTTATCCATAAATGCCTTTGCCGTATTACCACGTTGGACATCAGTGGGTTCGACCACATAATTAGGTTGACGACCACCAGAGAATCGTTTAAAGACCACATGAATCACATTAGGAGTGATATGAATCTCATCGTCCGTTGGACGTCTTTCGAGATGTAATAACTTCATACAGATCGGTTGACTAGTAAAGACTCGAACCAAATGATCTGCATGGATTCCATTCTTGGTGATAAATCGTTCAAGAACATGTAGTCCTTTAGGAGTGATTTGATAGATTCCACGTTCTTTGAAAGTCGGATTGAGTGGATCTGCAGCATTTTCAATCAATCTAGCATCCATGAAATGTTGACAGATGCCTTTTGCGATTTCACGATTCATCGAAAAGGTCGTAGTGGTCGTAGTCGTGACGATTCGAGACGGATCATTAGGATCAGTAGAACGATTCGATTGAGAGAATCGTAAGGAAGCTAGATTGGCAGCTGCATCATCAGTGGTGAATGAGTTAGGATAAGATCGAAAGAAACGAGTGTTGGTGGATAATTGTAGAGAGGCGACCAAGGTTGCAAAGAGGTCATGTGTATCCTATGAAAGTGTTGAAGAGGATGAAAAGTAAAGTAAGTGATTTGATTGAATTGGGATTAATTAGATGAGGTCAAGAGAAAGAAAGCTCAAGAAAGAAAGAAAGTCAATAAACCAACCTTAACAAATGGATTTCCACGTTTACCAGTCTTTAAGATATGAGAAGTAGACTGTTGACGAGATCTTGGATCAGTTAGATTGTCCATTCCTGTGGCTGAATTGTTAATCGATCGATTTGAGAATGCAGGCATTAACTAAACAACTAGCACAGAGACAGAGAGAGAGGGAGTGTGTGTGTGTGTTTGTGGAAAAGAGAGATAGAGATAGAGAAGGAGAGAAAGTTTAAGAAAGAAAGAAAGGGAGCCGAAAGCGGAAAGCGGAAAGAGTTAGAAAAGGGACTTAAAAACTTAATAAAATAAAATAAAATAATAAAATAATAAATTATCCTGTAAATTTCAAATTGGAATACAACTTTTTCCCTTTTGGTGTATTTCAGAATTCAAACTGTTTATATGTACTCAAATCAAAATCAGATTCGATTTGGTGAAAAAATCAACTTTCAAAGAGTTTTTGAAAAGTTTATGAAATTGAATTTGAAGTTTTTCAATCGACTTGAAATTTATATGACAAGTTATGGTAAGAGATCGACTGTCTGGAAATCGATCAAAAACTTTAAAAGAAAGAAATGATTGATTTGAGAATATAAAATGGTCAAGTTCTTGGGTTAATAAAAGTCAAAAGTGAAAAAATTAAAATCAAAACCTCATCAATTTCACCAATTTTAAATCCAATTGATTTTCCAAAGTAATTTTATGTAAAAAAAATTAGAGAAGAAGAAGAAGAAGGATATGATATATGTACTTACCTTTCAGAGAACAAGTGAACATCAAACATACAAAAATTGAACAAGTTGACTACAATTCATTTGATATCACATCAGGATATCAAAGTTTAAAAAGTCAAGAAAGTCAATCAAACTTCCTCAACAGCTGTCAACTCTCAATCAGATCCTTACAAAACAATCTCACACTCTTAATGATGGAAGAAAGCAAAAACTGACCTCCGAGAGTTTGGTCATACTCAGAAGTTTAGAACACGCCAAGCACCATCAAATTGTTGATCAAAAAGTACTTAGCAGATCTTCACCAAAGCAGATGATCTACTGACAGCATCATTGAAAATTGAATCAAGGAGCATCATGATTCCATGAAACGTTTGAGATTTTTGACTTGTTAAAGCATCATCTCCCTCATTTGGTAAATTTCTCAACATCAAATCACTCATGATGGCACTTCTATAGACTTGGCAACGATGAGATTGATGTTGTGAAGACTTCTCATCACTAATTTCATGCAACTATTCTGTTGATTTGTTCATCTCATGTCTTGAGTCAGAAGTTTGATTAATCTTCTAGTTTACACGGCGGCATGTGTGTATCATGTTTCTCAATTCAAAAAAAAATTCATCAAGGTGATCGAGTCATGGTATGAGAGCCTCCCTCCCAAATTGAGCTTTTTTATACAAGTCACATGTGAGTTTGAAGTTGAAATGCATCTTATTTTTCTTTGATTTTGGCACTTGCTCAATTTGAAGGTTGAAAAGTTTAAACCCATGATTTTCCCTATGCAAGAGAAAACTCATGAGCCAACACTAGAGAAAAGATTCAGTGTTGTTTGATGCTAATCTATGATAGTCTTTGAGAGTTTATAACTTTTACACCTGATCCTCAAAATGTTGTACATTCTACACACTCAGAGTTATTCTTTTCTGGTGTTAAAAGTATTTTTACAACCAGGTCAATTTCTTTTGTATGAATGAAGACAACCAGACATTTGAGCACTTCTTCCAATAGCTTTCTGTGATCAGTTTGTGAAACACAGCAGACCCAGGACCAAGTACCCTAGACCATGTAGACTTAGTGGCCTAAAGACCTGCAAGAAAGGACAGCTTTTAAGCCAGGGTAAATGCAACAAGTGTACTTTTGACATGATCATTGAGGGCTATTGTAAGGGTGTACTCCTCATTTTGTTGACCATACAACTTGGACCAGCTACATTCAGCTACCCACCAGAAGTTGAACAGAAACAACCAAGGAATAGGATATGATCAAATGGAGTCAAGTGTGATATCATAAAATCATCAATTCTTCAATGTTATGAAAAAATGTTGCGCATCATCAACAATATAAACCCAGCTAGCTCCTTGGAATGAGACATAGTCTTACCAAGATGGCAACAGCTACCCTACTGTAACAGTACGGCACGGTACCGTAGCTGGGCTGCACAGTACCGTACCAATAGTCCTACTACCAGTACCTCCTGACAGGTATGGTACTGAGATGGCTGTGAAGGTGGTGGGCAAGGATTTGACAGAGAGAGGCGCGCCCAGGCGCAGAAGCCATAGTCTGGGATGCACCCGAATAGCAGGGGGCGTGTGGTCACGCCTTTGGAGCAAAAAAAAAACATGAAAACCATGAAAAAATCTTCTCAAAAACAGCAATCAAGGCTGTGATGAAGCTCAAACACAAAAAGGGATGAGAGAAAAGCTGTTTCAAGTCAGGATGACTACACTTTCAAGATAAAAACCACAGAATATTTTTGTTCAAGAACTATTTTAAGGGTCTTGCAACTCAGATGAGAAATTGATAGAAGAAATATCTTGAGTTGGGCTCATCTGTAGGGCTTTCTCCAGATTGAAAGTTACACAGACCAAAAATGACAATGTAATAGGCTTCCTCTAGTCCAAGATTATGCCCGAGAAGACCTTCTATGCTTCAGATTATCCAAGTCTTGCATATGGACACACCACCCCCTGTTTCCAGAAATATTTGGTGTGCCTGGTGTGCCTGGGCAGGCGCACCTTTTGACATGCCAAACACGCTGCACCCACCACTTGACTGTGAAGGCCATTTTTTCCACAGGTACTGTACTGATTATTGTACCTGATTGCTGGATATGGTGGTACTGCCAAGGGGTAGTACTTGAATATTTTGTATTGTACTGTACTGTACCTCCATCTTGGAAGGTACTTCAAGGTACTTTATCATCTCTGATCAAGGTTAAATAGTAACCCTTTATTGAGCTACTCTCATTCATGCACCACCTCAAAACGACCATCAAAAAACCTATACAAAGATAGCATACACATCTGGACACAATTGTAAGTTATATCCACCTCTTTCTGTCACCTTAAGTGCCTTGTGTCTTGTTTTCACTAACCCATTTGTTCAATCTGATTGATTCAGCTCTATAAACAATGGTCATGCCAGTAGCCAAGTGGATGAATCTCCTTTTTTTGTCTATCTTTCTTATTCTTTTCCATCTTATTTTTATCCTATTTCTCATTATATTTCTTACCTTTTTTGCTGGCAATTTGGATTATCAATCAATTTTTGGTTAGATATAATAAGGTACCGGATGCAGTACGGTTACAATACTGTAAAGTGCCTGACCAGGTATGGCACTGCCTGCATAGTTGCCTTGACAACAAATATCCAAGGAGTCCTCAGATGCCCTCCACAAGGAAAAGGGCACCCAAGGAATACCTCCAAGGAAAACTTTGGCCGTTTCTGTTGCCTCAGATTGGATCCTCTGTGGGAGCTTCCCTCCAAGTCAAAATCCAAGAAATCCTTGGATTTTGGCATCCAAGCCAAATATGCTGGCTGTGTGGCACAGTATTGTACCTGGCCTGTAGACTGGGTATGGTACTGCTGCCTGAGTCATAGGATAATCTCTGCCTCTAGATACAGTACAGGCTACCGTATCTGCTTCTTGGCACAGTACAGTACTGTGTTTAGCAGTACCATCAATTCAGATACAATACTGGTATCACAGGTACAGTAACAGTACCATATCTTTTTCTGTGTTGGTCTTACAAGCTTACCACACAGGTGGATGCTAGCACCAGGGGTAAATTTTATCTAAGATTCACTATCTAGCACTTCTCACATCTTCCCTTGTGATGCAACCTTGTCAATTTACAAGAGCATCAAGTGCTGCTTTGGCTAGAGCCTAAATACTGCACTGATCAAAGGTATTTAAAATTTGTGGAGTATGTCTCACATTTCTCATAAGAAGGGTCCATTTGAAGCATCATACACCAAAAGAAAGATGCACCAGGAGAGAGTTGACTGTATTCACTAATGTGATACCTAGCCGCAGCAGATTGAGTGTTCAATTAAAGTCGGCATGCATGCTTCTAAGTTCTTGAGAGAATTTGATACTATGTTTATGAATCTCAAGCTTCAGGGAAGTTGAGGCTTTTGCCTTTGATCATAATTTTTGCTTTGATGACCAAGAATTGTATGCCAGGAATCTGTTGATCCATAGATTTTGGAACCCGCTATACATCTTCATGCATTCTTGTTGTAGTAAAAGCCAAGTCCACTATATCTGGTGACCATTCAATTTCCCCCACTCTTTGCAGAGGTTCATTTTTGATCTTGCCCCTTCCCAGAGGAGGCAGTGCATGTCTAATGCAGTAAGTAATGTGGAAACAACACAAGAAGTACAATACAGATGCACCTCCTCCAAATCCTGCTGCTGAGTCCAAACACAGGGATCATATCAACTGATTTATAGGTGCTTCTGGATCTACCAGTGGGAATGAAGTCAGTTCCAAGGCCAGATTTTGCACACATGTCACAAACATGGGCTGTTTTGTGTATAGGCCATTTTTTAGAGAATGACACACCTTGCATGCATATGTTGTTAGAAAACAAAAAGGCTCCCAGACACATCCCAGACACACCTGAGATTATTTTACATCCCAAACCTGCAATTCAGGATGGTAGGTGCAACCCTGTGCCAGCAACGCAACGCGCCGCAGCACACATGTTTTTTGATGTGTTGCTCCGCAACACGCAACACCAACAAGCAGCAGACACTGCGTTGCGGGAAGTACCGCAACAACAAAAGTCAAGGCTAGGCTGCGTGGCGCCTCAACAGTTGCGCAACGCAACAGGCGCAACAGCGCCAAAAAAATGTCAATTTGTAAGTTTTTGGGGACAGCAACACAACAAATGTTGTTGCGGCCCAAAAAAAACACTAATCTGAGCGATCTTGTTGCGCTGCGGGTCAGGCCGCAACCTGAAAATTGATTCTACGGTGCGGTGCGGTCAGAAAAACCGCAACGCAACCGCAGCGCAGCACGCAACACCTGCGGTGCTGGCCCAGGGTTGGTAGGTGTAGGAAGTTTCACAGGCCAAATTTTGAAAACATCAATTTCATAAAGAGTGTATTTAGTGGTAAACACAAGAAGCATAAATCCTAATAGAAAAATTGCTTAATATAGACACTGGTGGCATAAGAAAGAGGGAAAAAAGTACAAGAGTTTTGACTTTGGATCTTTGATTTAACATTTCTGTCAAGAAGACTACTGAAATCCATCAATCAAACAGGTCCCTCCCTGTGGACAACTCCAAATATTTAAAGGAAAGAAACTTGATGTGTAGAATACATGAAATTTTTAGACCAAAGTTTGAAGACAAACTCATCCGGACACAACCTCTTTGATTTTGAGGTTTCCTGAGAAGCAACAGGGGACAATTCAAATAGGTAAAAGTGAAAAGGTAAGTCTTCAATTATATCAATTACATTGTGTATTGATTTCATCCTCTGCCATAAACATTCTCCACTTCTGGATATTGTTATGAGCCCTGAATGGGGATTATGCTTGTATGCTAGTATTGAGATCTCACTCTATCTGAGACTTGTCAAGTGAGAGTTTTCACATCCTTCTGCTGCAATCTCATTATAGTACCAAGCCACCTTTCACCAAGTCCTTTGATCCCATCCACAAAAGTTTCTAATAGATATCTATGGAATTATTATCCTTTAAGATCTTCATGACTTGTGAATTCCACTCAAGAAATGTACCAGAAGGTATCTTCTCAATTGGGAATTGAATATAATTTGGTGAACTTGGATCACCTTTGATGGCCAAGGAGTGCCATGACCTTAAAAGAGTTAGGATAGCCCGACTAGGAAACCTATTCTTGTCACTAAATCCAAACAGGGTCTGGAACATTTGACCAGGATCATCCAGCTTATTCTGGGGGGTGAACATATTTTTTTTATATTTGAAGAGATGTTGGATATTCTTGGGATGAAAATCAAGATGTTCCCATTTGCCAAATGTGTCCTTGAGAAATTTTATTGCATTCTCCATCAGCTTTTGAAGTTGCTCAACTGTCAAGTTCCTTCGATTCAAAATCCTTATGATCCCAATGAAAGGTACTACCACTCTGTACTCTGCCATGCCAACAGCTTTGAAAATCAGGTCAAGATTGTTTGCATTGATTTCACTCAACGTCTTGTGTGATTGAACTGAGAGTTTCAGGGAAGGATGAGGATCATTGAGACTATTATATGAGATCTTTAGTCTTTGGATTAGATCCTCAAAAAAGCTATGTAATTCTTTACACATATTTTGACCAAGAGGTGTATGAAACTGTGCAGCATTTGAAGCCAAGTGCCATATTCTGTCTGATTCCATGCTTGCTTCTCCATATGAGTACCAATTTTTCCTTGAGAATTGCTCTGGACCCCAGAATGCATAGTTCTTGATTCCCATCCTCTCATAAAGTCCACCTTGAATTGACTTAGAATCATTTTCAAATATATCAATCGATTCCTGCCAATAATCAAAATCTTGGGGTACTTTTGATTGTCCTTTAGCTTTGGACCAGAATAGTGATAATGCATGAACCAATGAAAATGGGACATTGCTGCTGTCATTAATTTTTTTCAAGTATCTCAAGTGAAATCCAGGATCCAAGGCACCATCTGAGGAGTATCTGTAAAGTTTTCCAAAAGCAAAGTCTTCAAGATCTGCTGTCTTCCAGCTGCTATAGAAATCTTTCATGAAGCTCCAACCATCATTTAGTAGGACTTCCATATCCTCTTTTCCTAATTGTTGACCCTCAAAAACTCTCAAGACACCAAGAAATGACATAACAATTGTGTACCCTCCGTGTTTTGCAGCTAGCTTTATAGCATCAATTTCTTGCTGACTACATTTGTTTTTTCCTGTGATATTCTTGTATATTCCACAAAAGAAATCATATATCTCATAACAAAGTGTTGGTGACCTATTTGCATTGATAATTCCAATTTTTTGCAGAAGAACAAGATAATGACCTGACCTGCGAGTGTTTGAAATGTTTGACACACTGCTTTCACTTTCAGATATTCCAAATCTTTTTTGTATTTCAACAAGACTTTTGCTAAATGGAGTGTGTGGTGAATTTTCAATAAGATTACTTTTACTTATTCCATTGTCTCCAGCCAAAACAACACCTGAATCTTTCAACCACTCCACAGTACTATCAGGGTGAGACATTGAGACTCTCCCTTGTGTACCAAAAGTCTTTATAAATTCTTCCTTCCTTCTCTTTGATTCAGAATTTTGGGTAGAGTACACATCTTGACCTACAGCAATATTTTGCTTAGGTAGAGGGGTTCTTTTTCTTTTATCTTGTGGGTGGTTCATGATTTTGCTATCTTGACTAAGCATAAAGTTCAGTGGGGTTCCGCTCATTTCATATGTACTATGATTATCCTCAATAGGAATGTTTTCAAGAGGGATTGAGCCTTGCATTTTCTCTGGGCCTTTTTCATTCTCCATTCCAAGGGATACCTGGTATATTGTAGAAGGAGATGTGGTGTGCTGTTCTCTGCTTGTTGGACATTTACTGTTGTCTTTCAGTTTCATGCTCATTCCTGGATTATGGTTTGAGTTTTTCTGTAAGCCATAATTATTTGATTCTGATGAACAAGGACCTTGTGTGAAGTGTTCACATTCCAAAGAATCCTCAGAATAATTAACCTCCATGAAATTGTGATACTGTGACATATGTGGTCTCCTGCTTGATCCTGCAGTTCTAAATCTTAGCCCTGAGCATGTTTGGTAACACAGAGTTTCCAGTGCTATAATCTGACATAATCTTGATAGTAACAAGGACCCCAACATATCTGGGTAGTTTAAGAAGATGAAAGAGGGTTCAAGGTTTTGGATTCTTCTTAGACTGCTTGATTGCAGGGAGAAAAGTGATTCTTGAGTATGAAGTGGCAATGAAATTATTTCTTGAAGCCAATTATCTTTGGGAACTATTTCAAACATGTTGGAATTTGGGTTTGAACACATTCACAAGCATGTTTCAGAATCCACATAATAAATTGGTACAGCAGTCAATATCATCTCTCTAACCCCAATATTTACAGAACCCCCATAAAATGCATCCCCTAGTGCAGTTGACTGTGTACACTATTCAGCAGCAACAAGGGCTAGTGCAATGTGTTTCTCAAACATTTCTACCTCAGGTGCACATCACAGTGCAATCAAGTTTTTGCAGAATATGTCACCTTTAAAACAAAATTTAGGTGCCATAAATTCAGTATCTACAGCACATCTAGCTACAAAGACTCTTCACCAACACCACAAACTTGCAAAAAGTCTAGTTTAAACCCAATGCTTAATCCCTCATCATCAAATTTATAATTGCTTCATGATGAGGCTCATTAGTTGGCTTCTTACAAATGGCTTTCTCTACACATCCATAAAAAATTCAACACCTTTTGACTATCAATGAAAATAATTTAATTGGCATAACTTCAGAGCTTTCAAATTGAAGCTATTCATATAAAATGCTTCAAGTATTGATCCAGTCCACCAACTTCAATAGAGTTATGTAATACATTGGAATTTGGGCAAAATCTGTTCCACCTCTTGTGGTGAGCACAGATATATATTTTGGGCCTGCCAAGTGCACCTTTTTCAGCCAGCCAGAATTGGGGTTGTAAAATCTAGGCAAAAGTAAAAAATAGTAAAAGAACCTAGAAAGATATTGAAAGGGGAACAGGAATGATTGAAAAATGTTGGAAGTGGAAAAGAAACAATTGAAACATGTTGGAAGGAGAACAGAGATGATTGAAAGGCCGTTAGAGTCTAAGTACTGAATCCCAAGATTGAACTCACTCTCCAGATTTCTTGGATTTGTTCAAGGTTTTTGATTTGTAAATTGTGTGTGATAGGATCTTTTTGGGACTTACTATCAGGGCTCTTGATTTTTGAATATACCAGTTGAAATTTTGCTTAGAAGATCCATTTCAATATCAGACATTGCCTGAGAGACCTTCATACAGGTTTGCAACTTGGTCTGTTGAGAATTCATTCCAGAAAATAAACCTTGAACACCAGCATCATAAGCTCAACAAATTTCCTTTTTCCTTGCAAGTCATTGAGCAAGGGACTTATATTCCAACCAAGTATTTGGTCCTGGCTTGAGGCCACAAGAATGTAATTAGTCCTGTTGAGTCCTTTTTATTGATTTCTTGGATGCTCTACAGATAGGGGATACAAATTTGAATCTGGCCACACAGCCGGATCTTTGGCCAGATTTCATTTGGCTGTAAATTTGGATTTTCTGGCCAAAGATCTGGCCAAGCAATCATGTGTGCCATGTGTTCTTACAGGAGTTTGCCTGTCCATCCATCTGGAAATCATCAGAGTTCCCAGAGCCTGTGTAGGCATCTCTGTAGTCCATTAGGGAGGATGTACCATGTTACAGGAGCACAGAAGGCTGAGTTAATGCCATAGTGATGTTGCCACCCAAGTATGACATTACTATTAGGGGGGCCCAGGGTGTGAGAGTGAAGGTTTTTAATCTGAACTCCCCCTTTCTCCCAACCTCCGCCAATTAGCCATTCTCCTGGAAATCCCCAAGCACTTCTTCCATGTTCTCTCCCTGCTTTCTCTTTTTCTAGTATTTTCTTTCTATCAAGTTTTTCAAAACACCTGTTTGGTGATTTGACTTACAGAGGTGACCTGTATGATTTTCAGAATCTGTATTTTTCAAAAATACAAGATACCATTGTGTTTGACATGAAAACCTATCAAAACTCAGACTGTTGACAACAGTGAAAAAATTGTACCATAGGCCACTTGTTAAATAATTGCTGTCTTTGCTTTTAATAATGCACAGCACAACTGACAAGCAAGCACCAAAAAGCTAAGCCAGATTCTCCTATGTGGCTTTGAAGGTGTTCTTCTACACGCCCGGCTTTTTGATGCTGGTATCCTATTGTTGCAGATCTCTTCAGTGCCAGACTTGATCTCATTGCAAGTGTTCTCACATTCATTTCCTGTTTCCAAAAACCTTGAGTCAGAATCTAACAGAGGTTTCAGGAGAAGCTGGTTGTGTAGTCATACTAGAAAGTGTCAGACATATGCTTACTATGATGTCTAGCCCAGCATATATCTCTGATGTAGAGCAGATATACTCAAGGTAGAGTGTAAAAAAATGATGAGGTTGTATACTTCTTAGTTTTTATTCCATAAATTTATTTCTTTTGAGCAAAAAAAGGGAAAAAAATGTGAATCATGCAAATTGTTGAATGTTACCAACATAGTTGATATGAAAATGGAGCAATCTTTTAAAGATTTTTGATGTCATTTACCAGCAAAATTGGCATGAAAATTGAAAATCAGGGTTTCACATTGGTAGGCTCAGGGGGAGCTTTCTGGAGTCCTATCATGATGATATCACCACTACAAACCGGGAGGCAATAATAGCCATGTATTTGCAAGGCATCAATGCTCAGAGCCATTGGAGACTCACATTGTGATCCTCCTTGTTGCAAGTGCTGGTATCATTGCTGTCATATCACAAAACAATTTTTAACACATTCAGATGAAGTGTCCTGAGCTATTAAGACCAGTCTCAGCCCTCAACTAGTCAGGATAGTCCACATTTACAGAAGCTACAACCAGAGTAAGATCACAGAGACTTGAGAAAAGACCAGTCTTCAATCACTTGAAGTGCCCCACCTCGTGTACACTTGAAGCTCGGCCCCGACCCGAGGATAACATAAGACGTATCCTCGCAGCGGATCCGAAGATAAGCACGCAGATGCATCCTAAGATGCTAGGATGCATCTTTTCGTAACCTCACAGGCTACAAGTCCCCAAACGCATGCAAAGTCACTTAACTACCATTCACACCTCCTCACACCTCCTCACAGCCTCTTTCACATCTTTTCACACTCACACCCGTCTTCGAAGAAATTTCAAGCAAGAAAGCCACTTTTCCCATCTACCCGACCATCTTCACATCTCTTCAAGTTTCACAATTCACCTTTCACCACCTTTCACAACATTCATACACATACCAAAACCACCCCAACGACTCAGAAGCCCCCAAAACCACCCCAACGACTCAGAAGCCCCCAACCAATTAACCAAACTCAATCACTCGCCACTTCCACCAATCCTCACACCTCACTCACACCTCACACCTCACTCACACCTCAATACTTCCTGCAGCGACCTTCACACACTCCACCTCTTCTAACTTGTCTCTCAGTCATCATGACCACCCCCACCAGCTCAGCCAACAACAACAAAGCCATATACCCCAATCCTATACCACCTCCTCGAATCGACCAGACATTTGCCAATCATGCAGCCGCAGCTACCTATCTCCACCAGTTTGCCGCCGATCATGGATTTGAAATCACCACTCTCGACACCAGACTACCCACCTCCATCAAGTCCAAGTGTAGCCTAGGTGATCATAGACACATGACAAAGGCGAAGATTCAAGCCAAGGAAGCTCAAACTCAATCGACTCAATCAACCTCAACTGCTCAGCAAACAACACAATCAACATCGACTGCCCGCCCCCTCAAGACATGTCTTTTTAAGATCATCAGTCGTCGCAATAGGAAGGATCATAACTCATTTTATCTGACCTTTGGAAAGGAAGGTCATATTCAACACAATCATGGCCCCCAAGAAGGACTACCGAAGAAAATACTGTTTATACCTTCTAAGGCTCCACCTCAACCCACCACCTCGACTTCGTTTCCTGCTCCCTCTCCTCAACTTCCCACCATCTCATCGGCTATCATCCCCGACTTGCCATCAGGACTCTTAACCCACCAATATTGATTGCTACTTCAAGAGATGCAATCTCTTCCGGCACCTAACCAAGCATATCTACTCAACTTGTTCTTACGCGATGTTGAGTTTGCTAAAGGTATTGCAACCTCAACGACACTTCCTCCTATTCACCCCCGAAGGACCCCTCATCCAGCGCTTCTGTCTACTTCTGCTGAAGAGGCAGCTGACGACCAAACTGCCCTCTCCACCAATTCGATGACCGACATACCTAGACCTCCCACTCTATCATCGCCAGCCGACTCACAACTAGCTAGTTCTATCCCCAACCTACAAGTTACTCCGTCGGTTAATCAAAATGTGATCGATTCGGCCATCCAATCTCTCAAGTCGCCATCAACAGAAACAGATAGATCACCCAAACCCGATTCAGCAAATTCTGAAAATAATCCGAACAAAAATTGTGAGACATCTTATTTTGAATCTCTTCGTTCAACTATAACTGATAATCTAGTTCCTGCAGGTTGTTCACCCTTACCCGAGTTCAACCTTGATATCCCCATGGAAGCTCCTCCAGTTGAAGCTGAGCCTTCCAAAAATGAAGATCTGGTTTCAAGAGTAAACGAGAATTATTCAACCGAGAATCGTGAGTATCTATCTTTCTTTCTTGAATCTCTTGTTAGGTCAAGTCTAACTAAACATCCAATGCTCACAGGTTCTTCACCATTACCTGAGTTCAACCTTGATACCATGGAAGCACCTCAAGCCGAAGATGAGCCTTCAAAAAATGAAGATGAGGCAGTTTCAGGAGTAAACGAGAATTGTGAGTCATTTCTTTTTTATTTCTTGAATTTCTTGCTTGGTCAAGCCTAACTAGCAATCTGATCCTTGCAGCTTCTTCACCACTACCAGAGTTCAAAGTCAATTCCATGGAAGCACCTCAAGCCAAAGATGAGCCTTCGAAACAAGAAGATGAGGCGGTTTCCGGAGGAAATGAGAATTGTGAGTCACTTCTTTTTCATATCTTGAATTTCTTGCTCGGTCAAGCCTCACTAACAATCTGATCATTATTCAATTCTATGGAAGCACCTCAAGCTAAGCCTTCAAAAAATGAAGACGAGGCGGTTGCAGGCGTACTTCCAATTTCCGACGAAGCCAAGGTTCCCAAACCCCGTTCTCGCAAACGCAAGATAGCCAAAGTCGAAGAGAAACCGGGCCCCATC